ATAAAAATAAAAATAAAAAATAATAAAAATAAATAAAAGGGGGTTCAAGATGAAAATCCATAAAGGACATCTTGAAACCATAAGAAGTCTCAAGTTGAAAACTCACAAAGGGTGGCTTGAGTATCATTTAAATTCAGGATTTATGCATGATGGAGATTCTGAATTGATTTTGAAGTTGAAAGGACTCCTGGTTTGAGAAGTGATATTAAATGGTGATCAAGGTTAAGATTAGAGATTGAAAAAGGCTTGAATAACTAGAAAAGAAATAGAGAGTATATGAGATTCAATACTGGTTTATAGCATCCAATATTTGGAGATTTGGTAGTATAGGGGGAACTTCAAACCCTTGAGCATCGTCATAGTTCTCAAGATCCCTTTAACAGAAGCTACACTTGAGTCACTCTGCGACGTGCTAGTTCAAAAGCATTTATACTATTGATATTTGGAGATGTCTACTTCATTTTATTTTACTTTTTCAGCTAAAAGTTTGCCATTTATTTACCCAAAAAACTCTTTACATTTATATAAACGAAGTATTTTTCTTGTTAACACCATGTTGCAAGCATCCTAATTTGGAAATACAAAATGTAGATTAACTTGGGAAACATGATATCATTGTGTATTATTGTGTAAAAAGTTTTGGAAAAGTGCAGGCGTTCTGAAGCTAAAAATGGTTTTAGCATGAGGCTTACATGATGATGGGTTACAGGAAATTAAAACCTTTGGCTACATAAAAAAGCTCAGCAAGTTGGGATAATTCAAGATGTTTGTCACTGATTAAGTAGCTGGTCATGAATATTGTCTGGGTTCAAGAAGGAAGAGAATAAAGGTTATACCCAACGAAAAAGTATATAATCAGGATTATCAGTTGGGTAAATATGTGGTGATTTATGTGTCTAAGGATAGATTGGGTCATGAGGTGGTCGACGAGAGAGGGTTCTTATTCGAAAAAGAAAAAAAATATTAAAATTACATTATTGCACGCATTTTAGGCATAAACATGATCGTAACATTCATAAAATGCATGATGACGATAAAAGTAAATGAGCACTTATAGGTATTCCAAACGAAAGCTGAAGGTTGAAGATGCTGAAATTTTGAATTCCAAACATTCAGGTATGATGTTTCAAATTCTCAAGCATATACTAACAAGTGGTATTGTTTAATTTTCATATTTGATCTTCTTAAAGACAAGAAAAAACAAATCAAACCCGATTCAATCTTCCCTGAAGAGCAGTGAAATGAATCAACATTTCTGGATCTAATCTACCCTGAAGACCAGTGAAGTAGAGCCTTTTTTTTTAGATTTGAACTTCCCTAAAGAGCCATAAAACAAATCTATCTTGATTCAATCTTTCCTGAAGAGCAGTGGAACAAATCAATGTTTCCAGATCTGATCTCCCCTGAAAAGCAGTAGAGGAGATCCTTTTGTTTCAGATTTGATCTTCCATGAAGAGCAGTGGAACAAATCTACCTTGATTCAATCTTCTATGAAGAGCAGTGGATCAAATTTACCTTGATTTAATCTTCCCTGAAGAGCAGTGGAATGAATCAATATTTTCATATATGATCTACCCTGAAGAGCAACAGAGCATATCCCTTTTTCTGATTTGATCTTCCCTGAGGAGCAATGGAACAAATCTGCCTCGATTCAATCTACCCTGAAGAGCAGTGGAGTAAATCAACATTTTCGAATCTGATCTACCCTGAAAAGCAGTGGAGCATATCCCTTTTCAGATTTCAACTCAAAAATCTCTGTTGAGATATTAATTATTTCCAGTCTCACTTAAGAATATATCATATTTTCAAGCATAGATTCGACCGGACAAAAACTCATTATCTCTTCGTCTTTGTAAAGAGGGACAATTTTTGACACCCGTTTTCATCCGAAGACCATTATTATTATTATTATTATTATTATTATATTTCTTTTATAGGCCCAAAATTAAAACAAGCGCAATCGACCCCAATTACAAGTGACCTAGTGGACCACAATCGAAGCCCAACGCCAAACCCAAACCTTAGCCCACGTCAATTAAGGTTTGTTAAAACCCTAATTTCTATCTACTACAGTCGCTTCCGCCGCCACTCTTCCGGTCACCTGTTCTAATATTTTTTAAAAAAGGGGATGATCCTAAATCTACCTAATACCATAAAATCTGGGACATTAAATGTCCCAATTTTCCTCACCAGTCGAAGATCTGAAGGGGGATATTCGAAAAAGGGGAGAAGAAAAAAATTGAAAAGAAAAAACAGAGGAAAAAGCTTTCGAAAAAAAACAAACCAAAAAAAAAGAGGAGAAATATTTCAGAAAAAGGAGAGAGCTTTACCCCTGGAGGACTTTGCTTCACAGGACTTGGAAAATCTCCCTAGCTTCAAAGGTAACTATCCTTTTCGGTTCCATTTTTTGAGAGATTGTAAATTGGGGGGATTAAATTTGGGATATTAGTTTGATTTAGGTTTTAAAATAGAATTATTTAGGGGTTACTAGCCCCTCCTCGGGGTTGTTTGGGGTAGTGTACGATGGTGGCCACTGGTTGAAATTCGAATGAAAAACAAAAAAAAAAGAAAGAAGAAAGTAGAGAGAAACAAAGAAATGTCCGGTCAAAAAGTAGGATCTAGGGTTCCTTGAAATCCCAAAAAAGGGTAACCATTATTTTCGTGGGTGGGTAAATCACTCGAGGGGTTTATGGGTTTGTGAAATTTTGTTTTGGTCCATATTTAAATCTTTTAAGTTTTTGATTTTGTCCCCTAAGTTTTGTGTGTATTATATTTTGATCCTTTAGTTTAGATATTTCAAGTTTATGCATGTTTATACATTTGACATGTTACTTTCAAATTTTTCATTTTAATCCCCTGTATGCTTATGGATTTATTATGATTTTGGTACCTGAAATATAAGATTTTTTATACTTTATGACTTATGTTTACTTGACTTGCTGTTATGACCTTAGATTTGTTTGTCCATTTTATTTTGTCCACTATACCATGTTTCCTTATATGTGTATGTATGTATTTTTACCCCATGTCATTTTATTTAAGTTATATATGATCCATTTTTTATTTAGACCTAATATACATTTTACATATTTCATATATTATGGGTACCTTTTTTTATACTACATATTGTGGGTTCCTTTTTAAATGGTAATATATATATGTGTGTGTGGTAAATATTTTTATGCCTCATTTAGAGAGTTTCAAGTATGCAATAATATATTTAAATATACATATAAGTCTAGATGTAATGCATTCTTTAAATAGATTGTATGAAACACTCATAAGCATGACTTGACTCGAATCAAAATAATTTAACTAAGGGTAATATTTGCTCATTTTAATATTGTTGTGAAGTAAATGTCTTAACCTATAAGAAAGTTACTCTCGATAATTTTAAAATGAAAGTGTATCCCATTAATTGAAATCCTAAAAGTTGATTACATTTAAAATTTTTGACTGAGAAAATGATTATGTTCTTTTAATTAAATTCACCGAGAAAAGAGTGTTAGATCGGATCTAAGATCTTGTCTCGATGAATTTAAATAATTGAACATTCTTATTCTCATTAAAGGTTGGTAAAATAATTAGTTAATCGTATTTATTTGACGTATGTATTTATTTTTAATTTTTTATGTGTTTTAATGGGATCTCAAAATGAATAGCACTCGAATTAATAATGAATTTTAGAACGAAATAGTAATATTTCTTTATTTTGATTGGAGTAAGAAATGACTGCTTTAAGGCATAAGAGGTCATTTTTTCTCGATAAGAAATAATTAAATATTGTTGTTTTTCCTCTTAAAATTTAAAGAATGTGTTTCAAAAAGGGAAATCTTAAATTTAGTTTGTTTCACTGTTCTTTATGCATTTGAATTGGTAATTAATAATGAAATTTAAGATGGGATTATAATATTTCTTTATTTCGATAGGAGTAAGAATCGGATGCGTTAAGGCATGAGATGTCGATTCTTCTCGATAGAAAATAATTAAATATTATTGTGTTTCATCCTAAATTCAAAGAATATTATTTGTATGGGATCTTAAATTAAACTTGAATTCGTAAATTTTATTGCAAAGATAACTAATTAATCGATGATGTACCGATTTAGGGCGCAGTGGGGTGCTAATCTTTCCCCACGTGTAACCGACTCCTGAACTGAAATTTTTGGTAACACATACTGTAAATTTGTTGTTTTAATTAAAATTAATATTTTATTAAAATAACAAATATGTTTTTGGGTTCCCAATCACACCCTAATCAAAGATTGGTGGCGACTCCTCGAACCATGTTTTATTTTAAAAGAAAACACCAAATTATTCGAAATGGGATCTTTTAAAAAATCAGATTTTAAAAAATTAAATTTGTTTGTTTTTAAAAAAAATCTTTTCGACAGAATGCATGTAGTATTGCATAGCTATTTTTGTGGCATTTAGCTTGTGAGCTCAGCGTATTGAATGAGTTTCCATGCTCATGTTAGTAGAGGACTATCGAGGAGCCTATCGCATAAATATGTTCTAGATCAGACGATTCAACGTATGTCTTGAGTATTAATTACATGGCATGTATTTATGTAGACATTATATTATTTAGTCGCAACTCTATTTTGGTTTAAATTCAATGGATATATTTTGTACGTATTTTGGGAGACTCCCATATATTTTTGTAAACTTGAAATATGATTTCAATTATGCTATGATGAGTGTTTTGATGTTATTGAAAATTTTGTAAAGAAATTTTTGTGTTGACCGTTTTAGTGGTCCCGTATGACATTGTAATTCATTGATCTTCGGATCAGACTGGATTAGGGTGTTACATTTAGTTATATCAGCGCGTCTAGGTTTAATCATTCCTAGGATGTGCAAGTCAAAGTCAGTAAGTGTCAGTGTGAGTACATGCCCTAGAGCGTAAAAAATACTTAAGTTTCTGGAATGGCGACAGTGACCTCACTTTCCTTTCTAATTTCCAGATTCAATCATGGTTGATGATACAATCCCTAGTCATGAGGGCTAAGAGGAAGGTCACACCTCTTTGGCTGGAGATTTTGGTGACGAGTATGCCCCAGATTCTAAGCATGAGGTACCTACATACGTAGGAGTCAATGAGGTGACCTTCTTTTATGATATGAGCTTGACCCGTAGGCAGATAGTTTATGCTATTCTAAATCTATCCGCTATGCCAGCTCCCCCACCTGCACCCCCAGTTCAACTTGCAGTGGCACCTCAGGAGTCCCCTATCGAGTGGCTCCGTAGGTACAGGATGACCAAATTTTATAGATACAGGGATGATGAACCCATCTCTGCAGACCAATGGCTTTGAAAGACACTCCATACCCTTCATTAGTTGCACCTCACTCTCGAGGGTAAATTAGAGTATATCACCGTCCTTCTGAAGGGTGATGCGATTGACTAGTGAGAGAACGTAGAGCTGGCGGTGGAGCCAGAGAGACCCATCTAGGAGTACTTCCTGTTAGAGTTTTGTGAAAAGTACATCAGAGAGGACCATACCGACTATTTGCATGACTAGTTTCTGCATTTGACTCAGGGTGATAGGAATGTAATTAGGTATGAGAAGGGGTTTATCTTGCTGAGCAAGTATGCGCCAAAGCTCATTTCGACTGAGGCTCACCATTGTAGGAGGTTCAAGGAGGACTTCCACTTGGATATCTATACTCAGTTGGCAGTCGATCCCCCTTATATTTTTGTGAAGTTGACTCGCCAGAAAAAGGCAGTCGAAAGAATTTTTCTCAAGAAAGCTCAGGTGGTGAGCGACTCAATGGGTCAGAGCCGGAGGGATCCAAAGACTGCTAGGCCATATCAGTCATTAGCTAAGTGGGCCAAGGCTCCCCAAAGTTTAGTGAGACCACTATCAGGGTCGTCTAGAGGGGCAGCTCAGAGATCAGACCATGGAGGTAGGTCCAATCTCGCAGAAGATTTTTATCGTTAGCTCTCGGATCTGGCATCGACAAATCAGAGAGGGCACCAGATCATTTAGTGTGTTATACTTGTAGCATGAGGCACCTTGCAGAGTTTTAGCAAGAGACTAGATGTTGTTTTAGTTATGGGTCTTTAGACCATTTTTGTCAGAGACTGCCCCCGAGCTCAAAGTTCGAACCCTACATCATCTCATAGATCTGCGCCATTTGTTCAGCGAGGTCGAGGGTCCTTCAGAGGTGGTAGAACAAGTTTAGGGTATATAACAGGGGTATTTCTAGATCCAAGACCGTCCAGGATCCCAAATTAGCCTCGCACCAGTATATTTTCCGAGCCTAAGAGGAGTATGATGCTGCTAAAGTGATTTTATATATCTTTACAATTTGTTTCTATTTTTGCTACTGCATTGGTAGATTCAGGTTTCACCCATTCTTATGTTTTTATGATCTATTCTGAGAGAGAAAGATTTCTACTAAGGATTTAGAAATATGGGTCAGAGTGTCTAGTCCCTCTAAGATTAGACGTTTTGATTGACAAGGTTCATCATCATTGCCTCGTAGAGCTTCAGGGTAAAGTATTCTTAGTCGATTTTATGAATCTACCATTTTGAGAGTTTGATGTGATCTTAGGCATGGATTGGCTTACTGAGCACGACGCAAGTTTGAGGTGAAATGTGAGATAACTTAAACTTTTCAAGTATAATGGGATCAAGGTAGTGATGACCAGTAGGAGTACGAGTTACACTACCAAATTTGTTTCAGTAATTAGGCCTGAGAGATTGTTGAGTCAGGGGTGTTAAGTCTTCTTGGCTCATGTTGTGGATACATGAATTTTTGTTTCGACGCTTGAGAACATTTGTATCGTATAAGAGTTTCTCGATGTATTTAGGGAAGAACTAACAGGGTTTCCACTTGATTGTGAGGTTGAGTTTAGTATTGAAACAGTGCCAGGCTCAACTACGGTGTCCATTACACCTTATCGCATGGCATTGACGGAGTCAAAAGAGTTAAAGAACCATATTCAAGAGTTGATTAAAAGTGGTTTCATTCGACCGAGCGTTTCACTTTAGGGAGTGATGATCCTCTTTTTCAAGAAAAAAGATAGATCGATGAGGTTGTGCATCGACTATCGATAGCTAAATAAGTTTACCATAAAAAATCGCTACCCTCTCCCTAGAATTGATGATCTGTTCGACTAACTCAAGGGAGCTTATGTGTTCTCTAAGATAGACTTGAGATCATGGTACTATCATTTGAAAGTAAAGGATGTCAATATTTCGAAGATCATTTTCAGGACAAGGTACGACCATTATGAGTTTCTCATGATGATGTTCGGAATCACCAGTACCCTGGTGGTATTCATGGATTCGATAAACCGTGTCTTTCATCCTTACCTAGATCATTTTATGGTTATCTTCATCGACGATATTCTTGTGTACTCCCAGTCTAAGGAAGAGCATGACCAGTACCTCCGCATCATTTTACAGATACTTAGAGAGCGTCAATTATATGCCAAGTTTGGGAAGTGTGATTTCTGGTTGATCAAAATGGCATTTTTGGATCATGTTGTAGTAGTTGATGGAATCCGAATGGATCCCTAGAAGATTAAGGCAATGTTAGAGTGGGAACCGCCTAAGAATATCACTAAGGTGCGTAGTTTCTTAAGCCTAACAGGTTACTATCATTATTTTGTTAAGGCTTTCTCCATGATTGCGACACCATTGAACAAGTTACTTTAGAATGGAGTTCCTTTTGTTTAGAACGAGTGGTGCCAAAAGAGTTTTGATCGTTTGAAAGATATCCTCTCGCAAGCCTCCATTTTGACACAACCGAAATCGAGTAAAGACTTCACATATTCAGTGATGCATTACTAAATGGTATGGGATGTGTTTTGATGCAAGAAGGGAAAGTTGTGGCCTATACATCCCGTCAGCTAAAGCCTCACAAATGAAACTAGCATACTCATGATTTGGAGCTTGTCATAGTGGTTTTTGCTTTGAAGATTTGGAGGTACTACTTATTTAAGGAAAATGTCACATCTTCAAGGATCACAAGAGCCTTAAGTATTTACTTACTAAAAATAAGTTGAAATTGAGGCAACAAATATGTGTAGAGTTGTTGAAGGACTATAACTGTGTGATATACTACCATCCAAATAAAGCAAACATTGTTGCAGATGCTTTGAGCATGAAGATTGTGGTAGAATCACGATCTTTTCTAGCACGTCTGAGTTTGACTGATTTGGGTTGACTATTAGTTGAGTTGAGAGTGGAGCTTGAGCTAGTGAGTGAGGCTAAGAGGTTGTAAGGTTCAGATGATCGATTAAAGGCCCAATTCAAGCAAGTTTTTTGAGCTGATGCCCTATGTTTCGAGTTACGCGATGAGAGCATATTGTACTTCCGAGGGCATTTGTGTGTGCGAACCAACAAGCAGCTTCGTGACAAAATCCTTTATGAAGCACATTGTAGTCCCCTTTCCACTCATACGGATAGCAACAAGATGTACCAAGAGCTCTAACCATTGTATTCGTGGACGAGCATAAATAGAGAAGTATCGAGTTTGTTGCTAAGTGTTTGGTATGCCAACAAGTCAAGGCGGAACATCAGGTTCCTTCTGGATTACTGCATCTGATTCAAATTTATCAGCGGAAATAGGAGATAGTGACAATGGACTTTGTAATCGGCTTATCAATGAGAAGAATCATGCATGATGTAGTGTGGGTTATAGTGGATCGTTTGACCAAGTCTGTTCATTTTCTTCCTATTCGGATGGACTTCACGTTAGAGCGATTAGTGCAATTGTATATCCTCAAGATCATACGGTTACATGGAGTCCCCATCTTGATAATATCTAACAGAGATTCACGTTTCACTTCTCGATTCTAGAAAGCGCTTCATGTAGCTTTAGGAACTAATATGTACTTTAGTATCACCTTTCATCTTCAGATAGATGGACAAACTGAGTGAGTCATTTAGATTTTGGAAGACATACTTAGTTTACAACAACAACTTCCAGGTAAGAATTAAGATGGCTCCGTATGAAGCCTTGTATAGGTGTAATTTTATAACCCCATTATGATGGATGAAACTCAGTGAGGGTAAGATAGTAGGTTCCGACTTGATGTAAGGCGATTATACATACTTTGATGAAAAGAGTAGATAGCCTTATTGTGTCCCGATCTAGGATTGAGAAGTACTGATGTCCTTGAATTATAAGTTTGGGCTGCAAATAAGATAAGAAATAAATATGTTTAGTAATGGAAGGATAAATGGAATAATAAGATAAGAAATGAATTTAAAAGAATGGTATAGAGATGGCTGCGGAAATGGATGGTCTTGATGGATGATGTTGATGATGTAATGGCAATGGTGGTGATATTGTATCTCAAACACGCCAAAGATGAAATAGTGCTAAGGAGCACAATCCCGGTCTTCACAAACTTGCTTGTGGGGTGGTGATAGTGTCTTCAACCCACTAGATATCAATCTAGGAATTTTGGAATCAAGATGGAAAGAATGACGCCACAAGTATATGAATTATACTTGCTTAATCGATAAAGTTCACAAAGAACTTTGAAGAGAAATAACTCACAAGAGTATGTTTTATATAAGAGATGAGATGGGTACAAATGAAGGCAAGCCACTCTATTTATAGGAAATGAGAGGGCTTGGCCGAATGGTTACAAGTTGTTTCGGCTAGATACATAACTTTATGAAGATACATAATGTTTTAAAATGAAAAATTAAGTCATTTGGGCTTGTGATGGTTCGGCTAACTCTTCATGAAGGGCCTTAATGATTCGGTCAAAGGATGGAGAGACATCTCCCTTGGCCGAATGGTTCATGCTTGTTCATCTTGGCGCCAATTTCCTCTCCTTGGCCGAATAGTCATGTGCCTTATCATGTTTGGCGCCAAAGGCTCTCATGTGCATGCCATGTGATGTGGCCGAATATGCATGGCATTCTTCCTCATGATGATTTAAGCTTCTAATGGTTACAATTTCTTCACCAACGTGCTTCTAGATGAAAAGGCATCTTCATGGACAGCATCATTCATGGAAGGTCACAATGTTTGAGAAAGGTGTCCCTTCATGTTTGAGCAGCTCCTTGTGGAAAGGTACCTCTCGAGGTGGCAACTATTCGCGAAAATGTACGATTTCACAAATTTTAACTTAGGACATATTTGAAGTGTCCTAAGTGGTGATGATGATGGTGCAATTCCCCAGCTGAAATGAGTTCATCTTATAGCTCAAATCTTCAGCTCAATCCAGCTATGAGCTCACGGCCTCTTGACAACTTTTCATCAATTGTTCCTTGTGCTCTCTTAATTGATCCCATGTAAGTTTCCTTGTTGTTACATGCTCCATTTAGCTCCAATGTAGCTCCCAAGTGTTGGCCGAATGTGCCTACATGCGTAACATAAAAATAAACTAAGTATATAAACTTGTATATTATAAAAAATGTGACTATAGTATATGATAATAACTTGTATCTCATATATAAATGGATAACTTATTATCATAATAACTATAGGTATAATATATATATATGAAAATAACTATCTTATAACATATGAAATAAGTATCTATAGGTATAAAGATAGAAAGTTTCTTCCCTGGAGAGGTTGGAATAGCCATGGTAAATATGATGCTGAATTGGATCACATCATCCTCCCTTTCTTTTAATCGATTTGTCCTCAAATCGAATGATCGTCTTTTCTTAGTGTCCTTCCATTCAATCTTTACAAAAAGGTTCATATCCGTTGAAAGACTGCTTTGGAAGTTCTTAGGCTGAAAAGAAAGAAAACTTTTATTAGTATGAATGTGATCAAACAAATTTAATGTTAAGAAATACTTCCTGAAAAATGTAGGTTCAAAGTTCATGTCTATTGAAGACATTTGTCTTTGAACGTTAGTGCCCTTTTGTATTCCAAAAATCATGCTCCTTTCCATAGATAGAGGCATTGATTCATGACAGGTGGTGACTCTTGGAATGGTGATGTCCTCATAAGTCGTGCCCTTTGGATGAAAAATCATTTCCCTTTGGGTTTTAATAGGCATGACTCTTGATTCTTGGTGGATCACGTCCTTTGGATGAAGAGTTACCATTCTTTGCTCTTAAATAGTCGCACCTCTTGGCTCTTGAAAGGTCACGTCCTTTAATTTCCCAAATTGATGGATTGTGTCACTTGGATCATCCTGCAAATCAAAGGAAATTCCTGCATTGTCAAAGTTAGAAAAATCTTCATTGACCTTGCGCCTTGTCAGTAAACATCTTTGTAACAAGCACTTAGATGTATAAGCACTTGTTTTTGGAATGTTTTCTTCCTGGATTAACTTCGATTTTCCTTTCCTCATGTCCTCAACACTTTGTTTCATCTTGATTTGATCAATTTGAACTTGTCTAGGTGTCAAGGGTGTTAGGATGATCTTCTTCCCTCCATGGTTGAATGAATACTGATTGGTAAAACAATCATGAATGGTCCTCCTATCATATTGCCATGGTCTTCCAAGGAGTAAGTGGCTAGCATGCATAGGAACAACATCGCACATAACCTCTTCCTTGTACTTACCAATAGAGAAAGGAACCATCACCTGTTTGTTGACATTAAGTTCACCTCGTTCATTGAGCCATTGTAGTTTTTAGGGATTTGGATGTTTCAATGTTTGCAATCCTAATTTTTCCACCATGATGGTACTTGCCATATTCGTACAACTTCCACCGTCTATGATCATGAAACACACCTTTTCATTCACATGGCAGCGAGTATGAAAGATGTTTTCCCGTTGTACATCGTCTTCTACTACTTGAGCACTTAGATTTCTCTTGACCACTAGGGCTTCACCTTCCACCGGAGCACCAATTTCTGCTTCTTCCTCGACTTCGATTGGTGTTGCTTCTTCTTCTTCATGGTTAGATTCAATCTCACCATTTCCAAGTAGTAACATGGTGTTTCTATTGGGACATTGTGTGGATATATGCCCCCTCCCAAGACATTTAAAGCAACGGATGTCTCTTGTTCATTCAGGGATCTCTTTTCCTCGATTCTCCTTACCAAGTTGAGATGCATTTGATGATTTAGCCTTTTCTTTGGTAGGAATAGGGGTAGACTTCCTCAAATTATTGTTTGGACTCCATCTTGAAGATGTAGGCACTGAAGTACGAGAGATAGGTCTTCTCTGAAGTTGCCTTTCTATTTTCATAGCCATTTGCACCATTTCATCAAGTTCGATGTAATGATACAATTCTAACGTGTTGGCAATCTCATGATTGAGTCCAGCAAGAAATCTAGCCATGGTTGCTTCACGATCCTCCTCAATATTGACTCGGATCATTGCCACTTCCATTTCTTTATAATAATCCTCCACACTCCGTTGGCCTTGCTTCAAATTCTGTAATTTCTGAAACATGTCTCGGTGATAATGAGTAGGAATGAAACGTTTACGCATGATACCTTTCATTTCGAGCCTTGTTGAAATCGGTCTCTCTCCATTCCTTCTTCGAGTAATAGTAAGTTGATCCCACCATATCAAAGCATAATCAACAAACTCCATGGCTGCCAATCTTACTTTTGTTGAGTTTGGAATAGTTATGGCAACTAA